GAAGTCAGAGTTTATTATAAGCATGCCGCTAGAACTCTAAAGAACTTGGGGGTTATTTTAGTTTTGTTGTTGTCATGTGTCCCTTCCCCTCCTCCTGCCCCAAGGAATACCCCTGCAAACGTTTCACTTGCTCAGCCAGTTTAGTTGATTCAATTTTCAGTTTAGCTCTTAGTCTTTTTTCATTGTGACATAGAAACAATTCTACAAATTTCTGTTTGTGTCATTTCAGTATTTATGTTCTTCACTAAGTTCACTCCGAAAACTTATCAAAGGCAGAAGGGACTATATGAATGCCAGTGTTTGCTTTTAGTATTCAGACACGTGCAAAAAGCCAGATAGAAAGTGGCAGTATAAAGCACGCAATAAGTCAAAACCTGAGTTTTTGCTGGCAGAGAATTTGCCTGTATGCAGCAGTGAGTAAACAGCAGCTTCCTATGCTCTGGCACAGTGAAAAGCCAGTTAGCATAAGAGAAGGAAATACTGCAGGACTCAAATGCAGAGATAAAAAACATCTCCTTTCTATTTCATTGTTACAAACCTTTTTTTTTTTTTTTTTTTTTAAAGTCTTGGTTTAAAGCTTAGTTCTGTTGAAGACAGTCAGTAATCACAGCTGTTACCTCTGTATTGGGTCACTAACATAGCGGTGAGGAACAGGATGCAAGGTCTGTCCTAGCAGAATGCCTCCTCCGCTTCCAGATAGAGTTTTGTTATCAGGGAAAAATTTAAAGGTATGAGGGCTTTGGGTTATTTTTTTTTTTTTTTGGTGGTGGTTTTTTAAGGCATGCCAGCAGCAGTGTGGACACATCTTCAGTAGTGATCACACCGTGAGAAAGATGTAAACGGTCTAGAGAGGCTGAGATGGAAATTAATGCTTGTGTTATTGGCAACTTTTAAGATCCATCTTTCCCAAGGCATGATGTAAATTTTGAGAGAAAAGTGATTTTTTTCAAGAAAAACCTTTGCATCAGAAGCATCACAAGCTGTTAAGTAATCATACAAAATAAATAGTAAAATAGGTGTAAGTAGTCTAATTTGACAACTTATGTCTTATAAAAATAACTGAATATAGTCAACAGGAGGTCAACAAATAAAAATACTGCCTCCAACCAGGGTTATCCCTGCCACTATATTATTTGAATTTGATAGTTTAAGCTGCTTTGTCTTTCCACCTCACTGACTCCTCCTGACTTCTCCAGAACGCAGTGTTAAATTCAGCATTCACTGTATTCAAGTAACTCAGAGGACTGAAATGTCAACAAGCGAACAGGTGAGAGCTCCTCTAAGTAATTGCTTCAGACCTTTTGAAGAGTAAAGTTTATTACAACAGAAGTAAGTTCTGAAAGACATGTGAGTGTGGAGGGGGAATACTAAACTTTCTGTTCTTGGGGGTGGGGGAAGAAAGTGCCAGTAATATCTTCAGCATGGGTACCTCTAGCTTTCCTGAAAATGCAACGGAGAAGAAAAGACGACGTGACAGAAGCAAAGGGGGGGACAAGCTAGTCCTGTCGGCTGGAAGGCTGGAGAAGCAGGGTGGGATAAACAGAATTCCAGGGCTATCATTATTTACGGCATCTCTTGTTATTATTTTTGTTATTGTTTATAGCATCTCTTTTGAGGGGCTGAAATAGAGCAGTGTCAGACGTTATACAAATCTGCGCAGAATTAACTGGGTGGGGAATCTAGAAAAGGCTGTAGCCATGTTGTGCCAGTATTTGAAGAATGAGGACTTTGTGCTCCTCCTGGAATGCATGCAAAGCCTGCACCGCGGTTCCAGTTTGCTGGCGGTTGCTGGCAGGGATCCCGGGCAGCGTCTGTGCTGGAGACGGGGGGAAGGGAGAGGAAGAGGAGAAGGAGCAAGTCCCAGCCCGCTTCCTCCCACACACGTCTTAGAGGATCAGGACTGTGCAGCACACCAAGGAGCAAGAGGAATTTCAGAGCAAGAAAAATAATTGAGACGAGGGTTTGTTTTCCACATTGTTAAAAGGGGTTGGCCTTTTTTATTAGTTTTGATCATTTATTGTGGCGTACTGGCTTTAAGAGGGAATTACTATCTGATGTTTTCTCGGATTTCTGTAAGTAACTGCTGATTTCTAGAGGCTGATAGTAGATTTATGGATTAAGTCATTTTTTTTAACTTAACAGTTAAGGAAACTGGACAAGCCCTAGGGCCCAGTACTAGGTTCATTACACTCCTAGCGATGTCAGTGAGAACCCTGCTTTCAGAAGGAATCAGCCCCTAACCGAAAAAGGTGAATAAGCATATTTAAATTGTTTGGTATTTTTAAAAAAAGTTTGATATTTCTTCTCCTCTTAAGGTTAGTGTTCCTAAAATGGCTTGCAGGAAGTCAGGAAGCACTAATTCTAATCATGCCACTGCCAGTGATATTAAGACCCAAATATTTTCCAATACCACCACTGCAACTCCCTGCTTTGAAATCCACAGCTTTCCTAAGGGGCTGTACAAATCTCTGTCTAAATACCGACGTGCCTGCCATGACCAGCTGGCTGTGCTGCATGGACCTGTGGGGACGAAGTGGAAGGCAGCAGAGAGCTGTTGTACCAGCTTGGAAAGCTTACCAGCACCCGTGGGAAATCAAGGGATTTCTTCAATGTCCAGATCTGTCTGGTTCTTTTGCTCCACTACAGCTCACAAGGGCTGTGATGATCCTCGGCTACTCAGCGTGGGCTAAGAACATTTTTATCGCAATAGCTTTGGCTTAATCATGTACCCCGAGCCCTTTAAATGCAATGCTGCCTACCAGTTGCTGGGAAGGTAGAGCTCTGCCTCCATTGTTAAAGCACCATAAAGAAGCTCCTGCTATAGATAATGACCAGAGCCATTGCTAGTTCTTCCCTCTTGCAGGTTAATGCCTTCGTGCACTTGCCTGATGGCCACCTCAGCGCTGTCCTGAGGGGCCATAGTTCACTGGGGCTTTGGGTGCCGGGCTGTGGTTCTGGGGCACCACTACCATGCAATAAAAGATTTGAGCTCTTAGTTAGCGAGTCCTTTGCTTCACATTAATACAGCCTGGTTTTTAAAGCATGATGTTAGGCTTCTGGCATCTGCATTCGCAGTAATGTCCTGCTTCAACCAGCCAATGCATTGTGTCAGAGGGGTCTTGCTGTTTCCTCATTAATCTCCCAACTCAGCCAGAGGGCAGGGAGGGTGAGCCCTCAGTACTGCTTTTCGGCATCTTCTCAGTAGAGAGGGGGAAGCATCATCAACCCTATGGAAAATTCCATATCTAATAGAGATCAAGCTTTTATTTTTATTTCCCATATTGTCTCAACCATAGCCAAACCAGCACCTAGAAGTTACTTGGAAAAATCATCAACAGACCCCAGGTTCTGAGTCTTTTTATGCTATTTTCCTGGGCAGAATAACAGCATCTGCATTTTTTAATCCTATGGCTCATTCTTTGAAATGCATAGGGCAGGATTATACTCTCTTCTGGCCAGTCTAGTATTCCTCAGACCTTCAAGGTAACCGTAACACTCTTATGTACCAAAAAGGCAGAAAAAAGTTCTCTCAGAAAATACTCTTTTTTTCCCCTGGAGAACATGCTGATTTTGGAAAAAAAAAATAATCCGCAAATGTCTTTCATTAGTCATGATGGAACTCATCAGTTTTCTGTGTTTAGAAGTGACCTTATGTTACCAAACATGGTTTTAGTAGTTATAGAAAGTAAATATGCTAATTAGCTTCAATCTGTCCTTTAACAGAGCTGACAACATCTCTGTTCTTATGCTGGTTTGAAATGGAAAGAAGTGTAGAAAAGTAGGGATTTTGCATGGAAAGATATTTCAGATTTTTATCTCTTTTTCACAGTGAAGGAATGCATGCCATCTCTAATTTACTGCAGTGTACAGCATGAAGATGAGCATATGCCAGTCCCCGTGGAACTGGTTTATCATGTACTTCTGCATGACTGCTTGATTCCAGTGCAACATTTTCTTCAGGTCCCTTAGTCTGTGGCCACTCACAAGGAAAAGGAGCGCATTTCCCAAGCTATTCTTTGTCCAAAGCGACTAGTTTTGCTCTCTATTTCAGCAAGCATAGGAAATTGCTTCCTCTCATAAAATTTGCCTTGCCAGACAAAAACAAATATTTAGAAACTAAAAGGTTATTTTTAGGTTATTTGAAAATCCAGGTTGAGTTCACAGAGTTGGCAGGTAGAAAAACTTGCTTTTTAAATTTCTAAATTACATTAAGCTTTGAAGTCCTTTAAGGAAATAATCATAATGCTATTGGTGTTTCTGGACAGTTTTTAGTAACATTTAGCTAGAAACACATCCTTGAATGTATTAGATGGCATCCACACCTAAGAATTTACAGTCCCTTCCCCACGAATTATACTGAAAACATTACTTTCCAGGATGGCTTTTCTTCGAGGCATTTTTTTGTAGTTTCAAAGCTCTCAGTAAGGATTAGATTATTTTCCTAGACCTTAAAGATAATTTGAGGTTAAGTAAAGAGCGAGATACGAGTTTACTTATCATTACCTCCTGTTTGTAAAATGGTGAAAACCTTTCTTACGGTGAACACCAACAGTTCCATGGACGTATTGAGTAACTGGCACTTTTGACACTTCTTTAAAGCCGTGGGCATTTAGCCTTCTCGCCAAGCACTCACAAGTCCACCTGAAGTTATCGCCAGCTGGGAACAGGTCAGATCTTGCAAAACTGCATGCTGTGCCATCTGACCTTACCTGCCCTCAGAAGTGCCCTTTCTGCCTTGCCGTGTCGTGTCCATTCAAGAGGGCTCTGCAAGCCCATGTTCAGGGACGTAGGGGCTGCGTAATCAAGCCCTAGTAGCTCAGCCCACCTCTGCTGTAGCCAGCCACGGGCAGTGGCCATGCGATTGCGGTAGCGCACAGCAGTTAATGACCAACCTCACGGACAAAATCACCAGAGCTACTGGGTTCTGATTTATATTGGTTTGTTTTTTCCACCAGAATTCGTGTAACCAACTATGTACCTGTTTCATACATGGGGAAGCCATGGAGTTTACCAGGTAAAACAATGGTAAGAAAAGACATTCACTAAGGGTCTTTTCTGGTTTTTACATGCTGTGCTTAAGAAAATGTAAAAAGATATCTCTCTTTTTCTTTCTTTTTCTTTCTTTTTTTTTTCTTTTTTATTTTTAGAAACTCATTATGAATCTGAGAGCAGCTAATACAGGTTTAGACCTGCTGGTCTTTCAAGGCCTTTCACCCTACTTTTACAGGACACGGAGGTTTAGGAGTATATATAATATATAGTATAGTACATTTACTCTGCATGTATCACATGGCAGTATCTATTAATGACCCAGCAGTCAGTAGATAAGTTCTAGCATATATTTACTTCAGGTGAACATCCATAAGGTGCCTCTTGCAAATGCCTTGAGCAACTAAGACATCTGCTGAGGTATCCTTAGGATCTTCTATGAAGATAACCAAGGTTAAGCCCGTTGCTGCAACCCTGAAGGAGCACTTTCCAGATGCTATATGTAGCACTGGGTGCAGTGGATACAATAGCCAAGGCATTGCCATCATAACCAGCGTGCCTCCACACCAACCACCTCCACGCTCCTGTCCCACCCATTGCAGGAGCCTTAACAGGAGCGTCCTACACCCCTGTGCAAGGGGTGCCTCAGGAGACTTTCAAGCGTGCAACCACTCATTCTTCAGGAGCCATCTGTTGACATCAAATCTCAATAAAGAAATGCACGTGCAAAATTCCTCTACGAATTAAAAAAAAAATATTACTGGTTTTAGAAAGCTCAAGAACCTTTGTGAATATTCAGGAGCTCCATCTGCTGGCAGAATTTGGTAGTTGTTTGCATCTATACTGAGTCATAAAACTTTAATAGTTTAAAGTCTATTATAAAGCTTACAAATATTTTTTGTAATATTACCTCTTTACTTTTAATTTCAGGAGCTGCCTAAACATTTGGTTAACTTTATGCTTATTTCCAAGAACCTGTGTATCAAATCCTTCAAAACCCAATTTTTTACTGATACTAGCTGATGATCTTGGTATTGGAGATGTGGGTTGCTATGGCAATGATACAATAAGGTAAGAATGTATTCTGCGAAATAAATTATCCCTTCCTGGTGAATTTTAGTGGGGAAAAAAAAACCCCATTGATAATATGTAATATTAGAAAATTCATTATTAATGTATTAGTTTATCTAGATACACTTCTTTCCAAACCATGTACAAAATAAATGTTCTACGGTAGTTCCTACTGAAGTAATAATTATACAGGCATGCTTGGGCAACTTTCTTGGACTTCTAATTTTCAGCATCTACAGTCAGAACTTTGCAAATCTGTCCGTGCACTGTGTTTGTCGGGCATGTGTATAATTTATAAGTTTCTACAACTCCACAAATATCAAGGACTGAGATTAGGATTTAACATCAGCTAACAACTCTAGTAGGCTTGTTATGAAATGACAGCTCAGCCTATGTATGTGATGTATTTATCTCTAGTGCAGTTATCAGTCTATATATAGATTGATTGATAGAATGACTGTATATATATATCCCATGATTACTCTAACCTATTATAGTCTTGGAAATTGTGTTGTCCTGTATCTATTAATGGAATCTTTTTCACTATGCTGCATGAGCTTTTGATATGGGATAGACCTGAAATACCTTTTCTTTTTTTTTTTTTTTCTTTTTTTTTTTTTTCATTTTAGTTATTAATAAAACCACATTTACTCCTGGAAAATTCAATTCCAAGGAGTCAAGGTATCTCAAAAAATATATAACACAGAACTTTCTTAGTTGAGTTGTAAATAAATAGAGTTTTGTAAATTTGACGGTGGTATCCTTGACAAAACTAGGAGGAGTGGGATACCATGAACTTTTGTGTAATAGATTTTTATCCAAGATGGGATTTTTCTCTTTAGGACCCCTAACATTGATGGCCTGGCAAAGGAAGGAGTGAGACTTACCCAGCACATTGCTGCAGCTGCTGTCTGTACTCCGAGTAGAGCAGCTTTCCTGACTGGCAGATACCCCATCAGATCAGGTTAGGCCTCTCTAATGGTTCGCTGCAGTCTGTCTAGCCATTATTGCTATTGAAAATCCCCTTAAATAAACCATTTTAAAGACTAGTTAATCTAAGGATTTGGGGGTCTCAGTGAGATGGGCAAAAATAAAGATGACTAGATTTAGTGATTGATTTCTATGGGAAAATCCCAACATAAAGCACATTTTAAATGACAACACAGAAATGGATAAAAACCCAAACAGCACAAACCACCCAGAGGTAGAAACATGAAAAAAATTGTGCAAACACTGTATGTTCAGTAGTATTAAGATTATATTAAGTGTAATATTTTGAATATCCTGGCAAACATTTTCATAGTGAAATATGTCAGACTGTGGAATAGTTCTCAAGAAAAATGTTTTAAAACAGATTTACTTCAGCCATGTAAATTCATGACAGAGCACTTCAGCCGTTGCATATGGCAGTAATAAGTGCAGCTCCTCTGACGTGATTCTGACTTGCTAAAGGAGAAATGTTATTATGAACTGTACATTTCAGAAATCTGCACCCCTGACTCTGTAAGCCTTTTGTTCTATATAAAACTTCTTTTCTTCCCCCCCCCTTTTCTTTTTTTTAACATTATATGTTGATAAATTTTTGTTGCAAGAGGTTGCCTGATGCCCAAATATTGGCATTTAGTGCCATTTGTAGACACCCCAGCATAGCTGAGGCATCTGCATTGGACTAGCAGATAATGACATGGGCCTTGGAGAAGACATTGTTCTGGGGGTCAATCAGAATATCCCAGGGCATACTAAATGGCTTATAAAAAGGCACCTGAGTTGCTTAGGCAACTGAGTCCCATTCATTAGAAAGGACAAGCTGAGAAGACTGAAAATCTGAATTATGGCTTGTTCTATTTTGACAGTTATTTCTCTCTAGGCATGGCATCCGGCACTCAACAGCAGGTTCTCTTTTGGAACGGGTGTTCTGGTGGGCTCCCACCAAACGAAACTACTTTTGCCAGAATACTGCACCAGCAAGGTTATTCTACAGCACTTGTAGGTATGAGACACAGCAACTTGCTGCCTTTGCATTGCTCGTTATTCAAATGAGGCTGCTTCTGTAAATATTTTTCTTTGCCAAAATGTCTAGGATCAGTTAAAGTAGAGTTTCTTGTATGCATAACTTTCAAAATCAGCAGATTTTTTAGAATGCCTCAAGCCCCATTGTCAGCACAGCATGACTGATAAATCCAAAACGAGGACGTATGGAATACGTAGCCGTACACTGCAAACAGACATAAATGAAAAGGAAAGAATCTTGTTTGCCCAGTACAGATTGCTTTAGGAAGAACCAACAGAGATATTCATTGATCTATTCGAGCAGAAAAATGTTGTCTGCCAGTTGGTACCAAGGCACCACAGTGGTCTTAATTAGATCTAGCAGCCAGTTTTTCTCTTATTTATGCATCCTGCTTATTACCACAGTTAAGACTCTAAAAGTGCCTTAATTTCTGCAAAAAGAAACTCTGCCAAAAAAAGCTGAAAGAGTTCCATTGACTCCAGTGGGTTTTGGATCGGAATACATCTTCAAAAAAGAAAATCCCATTAACTCTTTGCTAATTTTGCCTGTACAGCGATTAAAGGCTGTATCTTTCAAGTCCCTCTCATTTTAAAACTCTTTTTGATGTAGTCAAAGGTGTCATGTGCACAATTGTAATTACTGTGATTTTCACACCTCTGCTCGGTTCCATCACACTGACGTGTCATTTAGTTTCTAAATTGAAGTGAGTCTTAGTGATGTACTGGCTTCACAGAAGCCTGTGCAAAGGGGTGAACTTTCCCTAGCTCACTGCAATCTGGTATAGCTTACACAGTCACATACATGAGCACAGAGCTGGTTAGCAGTTCTCAGAAGTTATTTGTCTAGCTAATAGCCCCGAGGCTCATGGGTATAGACTGTCCTTCAGTGTCAAGATAATTACACTGCTCTGTAATATGACTTCATTAAGGTTCATTATCAGAGTATAACACGTTCTGATATGTCCAATTGTACTGGATAATTGGAATGGCCTATTTTTGCTGCTCATCTTAGGATGAATATAGACACACAGAGACAATAGGTACACCTTCCTCCTGAAATTTGTTCTTGGACTGTGAAGGGCAGCTAGGACTCGTGTGTAAATTAGTTCATATTTTTGCACTTAGTTGTTTCTTTTGGCACAAGGGTTTCTCCAGTTTCTGCCCATCAGGCTACCCATTAATGAATGGCTACTTTACTATGTGGAAAATAATAAGCACCAACTATTTAACCCTGTTTGTTCTTATTCAGGGAGGTGTCTGAGCTAGACCGTTGCCCTGCGTGGAATTTTAACAGATAGGTGAGGAAAGCCAGATGTTCTAGGCAGATAAAGTGCCAATGCACGATTGCTCCCTGAGAGTCTGTCCCCATTCCACACCAGCTCCTCCCTTGGCTGCACCCTAACTGAGGAGTGCAGCCAACTTATTAGAAATACAGGCAGACACACGTTATATGTTATTCTCTGAGTAATGATGTTGGATTTAAGGTCTTTGTTTTATATTTTCAGGGAAGTGGCATATGGGTGTGAACTGCAAATCCCGCCGTGATCACTGCCACCATCCTTTAAATCACGGCTTTGATTATTTTTATGGCATGCCTTTTACCCTTTTGAATGAGTGTCAAGGCACAGATGACCCTGAACTGGCCAAGTCTTTGCAAGATTCATACCGGCTTTACACACAGATGATCATCCTTGCAGTGCTTACTCTTTTGATTGGAAAACTTACCCATTTATTCTCAGTAAAATGGAAAATAATTATATATCTAACCATCTGTGGTCTCCTGTATTTCATCTCCTGGTTCTCCAGCTATGGTTTCACCAAGTACTGGAACTGTATCCTGATGAGAAACCATGATATCACTGAACAACCAATGAATCTAGAAAAAACTGCTTCTAATATGCTGAAGGAGGCAGTTTCATTCATTGAAAGGTAATCAACAAAAATTGTATTGCGTTTTAAGGATTTTTAAAAGCAATTTGATTACTGTGTCGTACACCACTAGGTCAGGTGGCTGTCATGCTAAACTACATGTCCTGATGCTGGCCAGTAATTTGTTGTTTCCTGGCATCCCCCTACCTGTCAGCATCCAGCTACTGCCCTTTGTCTTATACGTGGCTTGTCAGCTGCTCAGGAAAAGGAAGATGATTCTTTTTGTGGTTTTGTTTTGTTGACCTAATACAAAGGCGTCCTGGCCAAGGGCTGGGCCTTCTGCCAGTGGGAACAGAAAAATGATCTTAGCCTGATGGAGTGTTGTAGAAAGTGTCATATGAAGTTAATATTTTACAAACAGGGGTGATAATGAGTGCTGTTTTGTTTTCCAAAGATGTCCTTCATTTACAATACTATCAGTAACCTCAACTGGTTATTGAAGAAACCACTAAGTCTTTAAATGTATTCAGGCGTCAAGTCTGAGCATATCCCTGAATAAGATTATGCTGTTCCTGTCAGGGTTTAGGGGGTGTTTGTTTGTGGGGTTTTTTAAGGGAAATTGGGGTAAGATAAATCTCTTCCGTGAACCTTTGAGCATAGATAATCTCAGGTTCCTAGGATAACCTGCCTGGCCTGATGTTAAAGGGATATGGTTCTCCTGTGGGTGCAGTGTTGTGTCTGCCCTTTCCATGAGGGTGTCTCAGGTGCTCAGTGATGTTTATGTTTAAGTTTAAGCAAGCAAGTCCTATTCTCCTTGGCTCCAAGAGCGTGTCAGTCTTTTGGCTATGAACTTGCCTAGTAATTTATTTATTGTGCTACACATGCCTAATTTGGAACCAGTCAAAGCAAGGGCCCATTACTATTTTGGTCTTAATACAGAACCAAAACCTTTGAGGGGTGTTTTAATCCCTTCTGCCTCCCAAAACCTCAAAAAATGCAAAGATGTCAAGATCAAAAATTTTTATTTTAGACCCCAATAATAATTTTTATTGAGATATTCACTACCATGTCACTGTTACATTTTGGGTTGAGTGACAGTTTGTGGAGAAATGACTACTGTTTTCTTTTATTTCAGAAACAAGCATAGACCATTTCTTCTCTTTGTTTCCCTTTTACATGTTCACACCCCTCTCATTACCACAGAGGAGTTTCTGGGAAGAAGCAGGCATGGCCTATATGGAGATAATGTAGAGGAGATGGATTGGATGGTGGGTAAGTGGTTTTCTTGAAGAAAATCTTTCATTTATTTGAATGTGGAAAAGAAATTAAAGAGGTGGTCACAGAACTCCCTTTTTGCATATGAGAAAATGAGTGAACTTGCCTTGGATACACAGGTACCTCCAGAGACTGTCATTCCGTTACCACACCTCATTTTTACTTTCTTAAGATGAAAGCCCAAACTTTTCTTGTGAAGATTTGTTCTTTCTATTTTTTTAATTGACACACTTCTGTGCTGCAGTGTCAAATGCAGTCAAATCATCAAATATGTGCTTGATCACATTGTTAATCAAAATGTCTGACACTTCTCCAGCTCTGTCTAGTCTCAAAGATATAACTGGTGCTGCTGCTGAATGCTACATTATATGGTGGTTGGTTTGTGTACTTGTTTCTTTTTATCAAAGAATAATCCTTGGAGCAAAAACCAGAACTCCCTCCTAGCCAAAATGCCAAGTTAAAAACCTATAGTTTCACCTAATAAATTATGTGAAGTCAGTACATCGTGAAGACTCACTTAGCTCTAAATCTAGGCTCTGAGTACTGATTAGGTTAGGGTTTTAAACATAATCGGCACTCAGAACTCAGATTTAGACCTTAGCCTTACTTAGTAGTTCCCTTCTGCTTCACTGTGAGGGAGGAGATAGATAGCTCCTGTATGTGTTTAGTCAAAAGTGAAGACCCTATTGCCAAAGTATTCACCTCCTGTCCAGGCCAAGATTCAATCCCTGAACCTTTTCTTCTCCAATAACCATGTTTACAAAATTGTCTTTTGAGAGGAGCCCCATTGCTTCTGATGGGCAGGCTGAGAACCTCTGCAAGATCCAGTTGAACCAGAGGACTCTGCCATGCTTCTCTTCCAAATTTTTGGCACCAGTCACCTTCAGGAATGGGCTATGCAAGCACAGCTGGGTAGCGGAAGTCTGATAGTGTAAGGAATGTTCCTTGTATAGGCCGAACAGGATGGCAGTTAGTGAGGACAGAAGTCTCCAGGGTTGGACAGCTAAGGAAGAGATTTGGGGTCTAATTCGGAACCAATATGCCTAGACTCAATCTAAACTCTTTTTAGGGGAAGGTGTCTATTTTTGGGTAGGGTAAATAAGTAGTTTGACCAAGGAGACAAAAGAAGTGTGTAAAGGAGATTGAGCAAAAGAGCCAGTCACTAGCTTATGCTTTTTTCTTGCGTATTTCAGCTTTTGCTTCTACTTCTGTAGCTATGGAAGCTGTTCTTGGTGACTATATTTGATGCAGTAGATGATGAGAACAAGCAGTCACAGATAAATCATATTCTGTACAAACATTTGATGCTATCAGTACTGAAAACATTCCTTATGAATTTAGGTTTGAATTACAGTCTGTGAAGTTTTTACCACTGACATCAGGAACAGATTTTGGTTGATAGTATGCAGCCTGATCTCAGAGTCCCTGTTCAGTCCCTGGTGAGACACAGCAGTTTTCTATGACTAGGAATTTAGGCAGTGCTATTATTTAAGCTTTTCAAGATGCGTGAGGCTACACAATGGAGACAATCCTTGACTCAGAGAATTTATAGCATAAAGCTGACAGAGTATTCTGAGTAGCTTGAATAAAAGGATCATTCATTTCAATTATTTTCCAATTGGTTTTATTTTTTATTTTCTTGTTTTTATACACACCACAAACAAATTTTGGACACATTCAGCAGCTTTCCTTTGGGCTCTTATTATTTCTGTAATGCAGGATTACTCTGCATTGCTTGTGGTAGTTTATACCAGAACTCATTTGGGTAAATGGAAAAATTCGGCCTTCAATGAATTTTGAGTCAAGACCTAAAAAGTCTGACTGCATCTCCAGACATAATTATGATGTTTCACTTTGTTTATAGGAAGGCTTCTGGATGTTATTGACAAAGAAGGCTTGAAGAATACCACATTCATTTATTTTGCATCTGATCATGGAGGATCCTTAGAGGCTCACAGAGGAAATGCTCAGTTGGGTGGATGGAACGGGATCTATAAAGGTAAAATTTTGGTAGTGTGTACATAAGACTTTCTCATAAAAAGAAAATGATAGAATGAAATACATCCAGATAGACTACATTTACTAAGCTGGGAAGATAATCTTGGATTGTACGGCTGGAGCAAATTCAGGGCATCAGCTATCCATCTTTCAGCCCCCAGCCAGGATCATTTTCACCAAAGCTACTCCTGACAGCTATATCCTCTAACTTATTCTTAAAGACCTTCAGTGATTTCCCAGATAATCCAGTTTTTATTGTCTATGCTACTGGAGTTTTTTTCCTGGTACCTACCTTGGATTTCCTTGCTGCAGTTTAAGCAACAGGTCTTGCCCAATTCACCAATCTACAGAGAAGAGATTCTTCCTTTCCTCCTTGTAACAGCGTGGAGTTGCAAGGTCATAATATGTTTCAATGCTATTATGTTCCCCCTCATACATCCTTTCTTTAGACTCCAGTACACTAGTACTTCTTTCTAGTTTCATGTTGTCTTTAAATATTGTAAGCATACTATCTAACCCATAACCCAAAGGACTACTTGAAAATGTTGTAGCATCATAGAATAACTCGAGTGGGAAGGATCATTGAGACCAACTCCCTGCTCCTCGCAGGACTACCTAAAACTAAACCATGTGACTAAGAGCGTCATCCAGATGCTCCTTGAACTCTGCCAGGCTTGGTGCCATGACCACTTCCCTGGGGAGCCTGACTCACCACCTTCTCGGTGAAGAATCTTTTCCTAATGTCCAATCTGAACTTCCCCGGATGCAGATCCAGAACACACTGTTTAGAGTCTCACTTGAAACATCCTTCTGTTTTTCACAGTAGATAATTATCTATGTGATAGATATCATGATGACTATTTTCTTGATACAGTTTTCCAGTTTCTCATTTCTCATATAGATGCTTCATCTGGAGTCTCTTTCTATGACTGGCTTGCAACACAGCATCAAAAGCTCTGTGGAGATGAAGATCTATGGTATCTCTTGCATGTGCTCCCTCCAGCCTGCCAAGCCTCAAAAAGCCACTGTGATGGCTTGGGCAACTTGGTGCTTATTGTATAATGAAGCCTGAAAAGTGTTCCTGTCACTTATTTCCCTGCAGAAGATTCAGGTGCCTTTATCTTGTTCAGCATCAAAATGTACATTGTCTAATAGTAAGTCACTTGATGAGCCACACAAACAATGTTTGATACATCCAGGAACAGTCCTAAATGCTAAATAAGCCTTCAGTTCTGGATATGAAGTTTCCGTACCAGAAAGTGATGCAAAAAGGCCAATGGGCTCAGTTGAATAGCTCACAACCTAACCTAGGGAATTCACTTCTACCACCTTAACACAAATTTATTAGTAACAGGACAGTCTGGAGAGGAATGGTGATTAGACAGAGATTTCAGTATGAGAGGACAATGATGACATCATGCCTGCTTAGAGAGAAGACAAGAGGAGACGGAATATCAATTTAGATATCAGTAACAAAAAGGGATTCCCATTTATGCCCGCATACAGCAGAACAGGAGACATCCCAGTGAAACTAACTAGCAATGACTCAAAAAAGATTAAAAAACATTGTTTAATTCATAAGTATCTGTAGAACTCACTGCTGCTGTTGCTAACAGGAAGATAAATAAGCTACACATATAAACAATGAGAACAGCTGCTAGTGAATAACAAAGCATGAGATACCGTTATCTTATATTGCACAAAGGTTATTGCACAAGCAGCTGGACTTGCCCTGTGTATAATCCATCATGCCACCTTGTCAGCCTTTAAAAGCAAGTTCCGGGAACCTTGCCTCTCAGCTCTAACTATGAACACACCTCCTCCATAGCAAAGTCCGGCATTACTTAGCAAAGCCAGAGGTTAGTATAAACTACCGTTCAGCTGCTGATTTATTATCTGAGCTAATAAGCTAGCTTCAAGTTTTGTTTGCTAATTTTCCTACAACACTTTCCAGCAATGACTTGCCATTTCTGCCCTTGACAGGAGGAATAACAGAGCAAGGTCATATAGCTACTTGAGCTCCAACTTTTTGCAATTTATTTTTTTTGTCTAGCTGGACCCTCAACTTGGAGTTCTGGCTTTAAACCACACTGTTTCATTAAGCCCATTAATGAATGGTTCTCACTTTGAAATGCTATTCAAAACAATGAATATTTTGATTTATAAGAGAGCAAATTGCATGGTGGAACTAGAGGACTAGAGGAAGGCAAAAGAAACCAAGTTAAGAAAGACTCTTTGGATTACCTCAAAACAACTTCTACAGAAATGTAGGTGGAAAGTCTTCATCACTGCAGCATATTCAGAGCACTCCCCTATGTACGGGTTCTCCACTCTTCCATTTGGGACCGCCTCAGAGCATCCCGGGGACTGTAAACTCCTGGAGGGAGATGACATATTATCCTAATTTCCCTTACTGCTCTCCAGGACTGCAAATCATTTCATAATGTTCCTGCTGCCTCTGATTGTGAACTGTCTGACAACCAAGCTTGCCCTGTGTTAATCCCCTTTCCTCAGGCACCAAGTGGGGCTGAAACCTCTCATTGACTCCAAGTCAGATTTTGCTTTTTATTAATAACAGACCTTTTTCTTGGGCATGTTATTAGGGAGCTTGGAGATTATTCTCAGACATGACATTTGATTAAAAATATGGGTCAGAATGTTTTCTCAGTCATCAGAGGAATTGTTCCTCTTCTGCCAAAAATACTGCTTGGTAGTGGGCTGCCATATATGCCACCCAAGTAAGAGACAGAGAATAATAATACTTCTTTCTGAAGACTGGAATTTGCACTGTAGTCATTCTACTGTTCTCCAGGATTTATTGTATTTTCATTAAAGTTATTAGAATATTCTAAAAGTTTTCAACCCTTTTATTATACATGCATAATAAAGATCTACTATCTTTCATTCTTTTATCTCTTCTGGTACTTCCCCCGCCCCTCCTCCTAACAGGTGGAAAAGGCATGGGAGGCTGGGAAGGAGGCATCCGTGTCCCAGGAATAGTTAGATGGCCAGGAGTATTACCCGCAGACACAGTTATCGATGAACCGACAAGCCTAATGGACATTTTCCCAACAGTGGTTCACCTGGCTGGAGGGGCTGTGCCTCAGGACAGGTACAAAGGTGGCTTCATAAACCATATTCACTCCCCTTTCTTGATTTAGAGAGATGCTGACTATGTATGCCATGCATCCTAACAGCCACAGGTCAAATTCTGTTTGTTTCTTAACCAGGCAATTCTCTAGCTTTCTGTGTAGCTTCCCCCATCTTGTCTGCTTATATGGAAAAAGCAAAGGAAAACAGTATGTTTTATCAAGCTAACTCAATTTTCTAATCACTAAAAGGCAACCTGCTTGATGTGGGACACTGGGATGACTCTAAAAAACAAAACCAAAAAAACCCCCCACAAACAAACATCTTTTAATCTTACTTTTATGAAAAATCCACAGATATTCACAAAGCTGGTTGATCCTATTAAGAGTACGAGGACAGGCTGTTTCCAAGACCAGGAATGAGTAGGGAAGGTGGAGCAAATGGCACGTCGCCTGCATTTGGCTGCCGGTACCGGAGAAGTAGTAAACCTTGATAGTAAACAATTTGTAGCATCTATGTTAGACTCCTCTAACGAACACAAGAAAGTGTGGGTGCCTAAGCATTTGAGCAAAAAGCATAAAGCACAGGTGGTGTGTAACCACACCAAGAATTAAATAAGAATTAATACCCCACAGGGGCTATTTTGGGGTTTTGTGGGTTTCCTTTTGTTTTGTTTTTTTTTTTATGAAGCCTCAGGCTCACAGAACTATCAGTGACTTCCGTTTCAGGAGCAAAATTAAAAGCTGTGAACCATGCCTTCACTATGTTTATCACTTACTCCCAGGAAAATTACAGTAATGGTAACTTATCTCCCCAGGCAGGATGTGTGAACTAGCTGTAATTGCAAAAACTGCTAGTAACTGCTAATCACTGGGCTCCACCCATCCACACAATTAAAAATCTCAGGGCTCATTAGCTAAACAGTAGCTTGGTTTAGAAATGACACTTGAAATCCTAATGCTGCATACCTGGAGAGTGAGAACTGCTCATGCTCCAGCTGCAGACTGAAATTCTTTAGCAGTTTGGTGACTCTCATTCTCTCCATCAGGGTAATCGACGGGCACACCTTGCTGCCTTTGCTGCAGGGGACAGTTCAGCACTCCGGGCATGAGTTCATGTTTCACTACTGCGGTGTGTTTCTGCATGCAGTGCGGTGGCACCAAGAGGACCGTGAGTATAAACACTCCCCTCCTGCATATCAGAGATGATAAAGACATTGAGGTGCTGGGGCATGCCCAAAGAAGGGCAACGAAGCTGGTGCTAGAGCACAAGTCTGATGAGGAGCGGCTGAGGGAACTGGGGTTGCTTAGCCTGGGGAAAAAGAGGCTGAGGGGAGACCTTATCACTCTCTACCTGAAAGGAGGTTGTAGTGAGGTGGGTGTTGGTCTCTTCTCCCAAGTAACAAGTGATAGGACAAGAGGAAATGGCCTCAAGTTGCACCAGGGAGGTTTAGATTGGATATTAGGAAAAATAATTCTTCACCGAAAGGGTTGTCAAGCATTGGAACAGGCTGCCCAGGGAAGTGGTTGAGTCACCATCCCTGGAGGTATTTAAAAGAATGTAGACGTTTAGTGGTGGACTTGGCAGTGCTAGGTTACCAGTTGGACTCAATGATCTTAAAGGTCTTTTCCAACCAAAACAATTCTATGATTCTATGACCTCTATCTTCCAATAGAGTAACATGTAAAAACATGCGTACATATATCTGGAGTAAGTTTATTGCCTCAAACTCTCAGTTCTTCTGCAAGGTGCAGAATGACTTTGTTGTTGGCTGTCCTGTCGTGCCTGAGATGATGCTTCCTGGGTAGCATAGCTTCAAGAATCTCCCTGTCATTGCAGTGCTTCTATCACTTTTGCTGCAAAAGCATTCAGAATCAGCTTTAGTGTAAGATAGAAGAAAAAGGAGCTGCACACATACAGTCTTTATCTTAAGCAGTAGTTTGTTTTCAATAGCCATATCTTCGTTGTTTCATTTTTTCAGCTGTGGCATTAGACAAGCTGGCTGCAGCTGTAATGTTTTCCTGAGCTTTCAACAAGCACCCAATCTTTGCTGATGTCATCCTCCAGTACAAGTGTAAAAGAGAACAGGCCAGCGGCTAGTAGCTGTGTCCTTATTCCTGCTTAGAACGGAGGATGGCATCTGTGCGACCAAACACAGGTGCCTGGACCTGAGCTTGTTGGTTTAGAGTCATTGAAAAGATGCAGATGTTTACAGGGTGTGATTCACCACCTTCTGGTTAGCATATCTGGGCTAGATCAGTCACACGTCTTTCTCTCCACCGACTAAAAAGGGAGTTGAGCTGACCATATCACATATGAAAATCACCCTCAGATTAAAGTTAGTTGAGATAAACTGCATCTTCTGTGACTGGGTGACGTGACAGTAAGCGTAGTTGATGAATTTGTGGTGATGCCGTACTCATTTTCTTTTTTCATTCTGCACAGCTGGAGAAATGCAGAAGCTGATGGAGTGGGCTATGCCTACTCATCTTCCCCACCTTTAGAAGCCTGAATGAGCCCCTTTAAATTTTGTTTTGCTTTCCCTGTCTGTGAAGTGAGAGAAGAATTATGGAGCTCTTGAGAGACTGCAGTTAGCTAACAGTTACAAACGCTGGGGCACTCCACCATCAGCAGCTGTTCACATGCAGCTGGTACGTTGACAAGGAGCTGGCTGTTTAAAGAGCACTTTGAGTGAGAGAACCTTAGGCAGCCCTTCTTAAGTCACAGTGTTAACTGGGTGATCTTTCTTGTGCCCATTTACATTTCCTTTATGATACTTTCTGATACAGTGACAGTATCAAGCCAAGAATCTACTTGCTCAGTGAGCACTTGAAGACTACAAAATTTACTTGTACTTGCAAATATTTCGAAATTGACTTCTCTGCTCCCTTAGAGACACATTCATGAGAGTATCAGGATAATGGCTGAGAACATTGCTGGCTGTCTTGTTGGCATGAATAAATACATAACAGAGTTGCAACACCGAAGTTTTAGTCATGCTGCCAGTCTAACCCTGAGGTCAGCACCCTTGTCGTCACACCACGTTTGACAGAAGCATGGCCTCTAGGTAGAGTCACTGCACTCGTCTGACAAGAAACATGGAGGAAAGGGACTAAGGACTAAATGTGAGGATGTGATGCCAGATGCTGAGGTGGAATTCTATTTTTAGGTTCTTGATCCCCAAAGATAAATCTGGGTACTTGATTCAAGGAAAAATGCATAAGCTATACAAGCCGTACAGGGGGAGATTCAGAGCAACCCACGCACTGCTCAAGGAGCTGCATGGTAGAAAATGCTAAGTACAAGGGTGTTTCATAAATCCAGTTCTTCCATGGAGTGGGGAATCTTCAAGCCCTCCAGGGAAAGCTTGTTGGTGGGGTTTTTTTCCCTTGGGAATCCTCATTTTCTATTTTTTCTTGAGAGAAGATGCTGGTAAAATTTTTGTCTAAGAACTATAAGGGATCTTTTTTTTTAAAAAAAAAAAAGGGGAAAAAGGTGCTGTGCACTTGCTCTGTAACAACCTGCCGCTATTCGGCCCTGTAGCTGAGTGGTCAGGCTTTCACACCCCTACCAGGGCTGCTGCAGAGCTGGTGCTCAGCACAGGCACTAGCAAGTGGTCCTGGTCTCCGCAGCTTCCCCCTAGCTGAGGATTTGGGTGACCTGATACCACCATGGCTATGACCACTTCCACTGAAGGAACCACACTTGAAAGCGCTCAAGGCCAACATTTTGGCTGTCTTAACTAATTGCTTATCTAAGGAGACCAGGACTCAATTCCTTTCTCTCTCTGGGCACAATCAAAATGTATCATCTCTAAGTGACATGTATAAATCCCCACTCTGCATCTTTGCTCTTCCTGCACTAAATATCAAACAAGATAAGTTGAACCAATCCTATAACCTAACACTTTAAGCACTCAGTTTTAGTTTTAATTAGGGATTATCTCCTTCCATGCCTTTTTTATTAACATAATTAAAATGCAGGAAAAAAGTCTGGCGGAGGGACTGGTGTCTCCTTCACTCCTGCGTACTGTAGGAAGTAGGCCAGCAAGAGAGAAATGCCTGACAGGGGAACGCTGCAGCCGTAGGTGGTGCAGTACAGTGCCCACCTCCCAAAACGTACCGCTTCCCCGGGCCTAACCGCCCCCTAGCACCGATGGACCGGCATGAAGGGCTGCTTTGGGAGAGTACCAGCAGGAGGGGGCTGCTTTGGGGGTGTACCGCCCCAGCGCCGCGCCG